CGTAAAAAAATAAATAAATGTGGTAAAGGTAAATAAACGTCCTAATTAAATTATTACAAACTGTGAGCAGATATAATAATTGGGAAAAATAATAATAAAGCGCGCGATTAAAAATTAGATCGACGAGAAATTAGGGTTTTGACCCTTCTATCCTAATTAAAAAAAGAAAATGTTTTTTTGTTGTTTTTTAATATTTTTTTTAAGAAAAGAAATTAGATTTTTAAATTAAATGAAAAATTGATTGGTTATTAAATTAATTAATAAAAATAATTAAATGACATATTTTTGGATTTTTGTTATTTTAGGAAAGAAATAAAATAATTAAGTTAGTAATAAAACCTATTTATTCTAATTAATTTTAATTATGTAAAAAAGAAATTAAAGTTGTCTAATAATTAATAACCTAATTAAATTAATTACTTTTTTTTAATAAAAATAAATATCTTGAATTTAATTGGATAGAAAAATGTTTTGTGATTTTTTGATAAGAAAAGAAAATAATTTGATGGGTTAGTAAAATAAATAAATGAAATAATATAAATATAAAAGAATTAGAGAAAAGCAAACAGGGCCTGCAATGTGGGGGTGCAATCATCATAAATCTCTAGGCCCGAATCTTCGAAAGCTTCATGCTCTAACTATGGTGGTTTTTTTTATTCTTGCGTGGAACATATGATTCAAGCATCCATAATTGTTCTATATAAACTCAAGCAAACGTTAGCATACCATAAAATGTGATTAAAATTAGAGATTCGAAATTTAAAATTTTACCAAACCGGTGTCGTCAAATGGGGGCGTGTTAGGCGTGTGATGGATTGCTCTTGGGCATTGTAAGACTCTTGAGGACTTCAAGAGGATGATTTGAGGCTTGATGTCAATTTAGAAAGACCGGAACCTCGAGATATGACTTGCACCAATTCTTTGATTTCTGGAGCGCTTTTTGAAGAGCTTTTAGAGAGCTTTTAGAGAGCTTTTTAGAGAGGATTTTCGTCCCTTTCAAGCTTGCATGGCTCTATATTTATAGAGGATAATGAGGAGACAAGAAAGCATGGAAAGAATCTCCCTCATAATGTTGTATTTTAAGACCATGATCAAGATTTTAAAAAAATGCCATATTTTATGATTTTATGCCATTTTCACATGTGGATGAACCTGGACATATTTGAAAAGTTATTTCACGAAATCAATTGACATAAACCAGCATAAAACTTTCCCAAAATGGATTCACATCAAAATTTACATTATTTCTATTATTTATTTATTTAATTCTGAATTTTAATGAATAAAATATCAAAATAAATATCATAAATAGTAGAAAAATATATGGGTGGGCTTAGAGGTCGTGGACCATGTTAGGAATGAGTTTCAAACTTGAAAAGATAGGCCCATTTGGAAAAAATCCAAGTTTGGTCAATATTTGCTTCATGCATTTTTTCAAAAATTGTCCAACTTTGATAATACATAACTCCCTCAATTTTGACTCTTTGGAGGTTTTCTTGGACTTTTTAGAAAGATTGAGATGTCCTCTAACCAACCCTTTTTGTCTAAACTCATTTTGATATTGAATGCTCAAGTTATAAGCTTTGAAAAAAAAGGTGTTTTTGTTGACTTTCAAAAATGACCTATAATGTCAAAATTCATAACTTCTTGTGAGTGCATTTTGTGGACTTGAGGTATGAAGATGGATTGTATGGAATTGAATCCTCTTAAAAATGAGCTTTGGATGGGTCATTTCTCATAAAGTATGAGAACGTTATGCTTGGTCAAAGTTGGGTTGACTTTTCCTATAAAACCCTAATTTAGCAACTTTTGGATCTTGATGAATTTTGAGCAATCCTTGATGAATCATGATCAAACCTTGATAAAATGATGAAATATCCTTAAAAATGAGAATGTTGACAAAAAATCTTGAAGTTTGACTGTATTTGGGTCACAGTTGACTTTTGCCCTAACACAGTCGACTTTTGGACCTTTGAGCAATTGACTGAGCAAACTTCCTCTGCAAGGCTTGAAATTTGACATGGATGATCTTGAGAACATATTAGGACATTGAGATTCACTTGAGGTAATTTGTACTCAAGGATCTTGATGCAACACAAAACCCTAATTTGGGGTAGACTGCCTTAGGAGAGAGCTTGTCTGACCAACTCTTGAGCTATCTTGAGCAACTTGGAGATTTTCCTTGCAATGTTTTGAGAAATATGGGAGGGAAAATTTTGGGGTACAACACACCTCACTTACTCTATGAAATTTTTTTGCCTATAAATACAGAGCATAACATACTTCTCTCACACCCACAATCGTCTCACTCTCTGCTTCAAACTCTTTCATAATCCCTTACAATTTCAAACTCTTTCATAATCTCAGGCATTTTCAATAATGGCTCTTCTCACAATGGGAGATTCTCACAGAGGCACAAGGGACAACATTGCAGCATTTGTAAGTTTCTTTTATAGTTATACATTTTTCATACTTCTGGTAATGCTTTGTTCATCTTACTTACTCTTACACCTTTTACATTTTTAACTCAAGATACCAAAAGATTCAGAATCCGGTCTCAGAACTACCTTGCTCCCGACCCATTGATTGTACCATATCTGGAATACGCAGGTTTCAGACACGTTATAAAGATCTCCAACTGCACAATTGATTAAAAGTTCATACTTTCAATATTGGAAAGGTGGAGACCAGAGACTCATACATTTCACCTACCAATAGGTGAATGTACCGTCACGCTAGAGGACGTGTACATGTTACTGGGTCTCCCTGTCGACGGTAAGGCCATTAACGGGTTGGTTCAACAACCCAATTCTCTGTGTGAAGAATTGTTGGGCAGGGATATGGTTGAAGGTGGTGGTGCGAGAGGTCAGGGTATACTACTAACTGAGCTTAAGAATCATTATGCGACTTTGGAATTAAACGAAAATTCCTCCGACCTAGCCAAGGTAATAAAAGCTAGAACTTATATAATGATACTATTTGGAACCTTTTTATTTCACAAAAGTACGGGAAATAGTGTAAATTTTATGTATTTAAATTTACTTAGAGACTTCGAAAAAACTAGAAAGTATAGTTGGGGTTCTGTTGTTTTAGCCCACCTATACAGTTCCTTGTGTAAAAATGCAATCAAGGAAAATGTATATTTTATGGCTGCGCTTTTTACTTCAAGTCTGGGGTTGATGGAGGATGGAGTCCCTAAACCCCGTCAACAACAACACATTTATTTTCCCGTACGCAACAAAGTAAGTCATCAAGTTATATCATTTACTACTATTCATCTCTGCACCAAATATATGATAAAAATAAAATATTTTTCATTTCCTTTAGGTATTGCGTGAGGGGTATGGATTACGGCAAGAATCCAAGATTTAATGTCGCACTATACCGCAATCTATTGGATCACCTTGGCCCGGATGATGTACGTCGTACCTTTCAACTTTTCTACTTCTAAAATAATTTATATATTACGTTTTCATTAACCTGATTTAATTTTATGCGCAGTTTTTCTAGAGACCATATTTGGGTTTGGGCCATGAACCAAACCCCGAGGATGCAGCAATTTGGAGCGCCAAGACTGCAATCATACGGTTCAATGTTGTGGAGATGCACCACAGTGACCGTGTGAAGATGCAGTTTGGAATGCATCAAGAGATACCCAGCGATCCGACTTGTTTGTCCTCGTGGCATCTCAAAAGGGTCGACGCCCAATGGGATCTTACCAACTGGAAAGACTTTGCTCCAGAATGGTGTAAGATGTGGCAGAGGCGTCACTGACATGTCTTACAATTCCCAGTTTTCCTCAATCATGGTAATATGCGACACACGGATCAGTATTTATCTTGGTACAGATCGGTCAGTAACCCTGAAATGCACGTGTCTCATCTAAGGTATTTGGTTGACCCACGAACACAATGGGCACAACCCTCATTTCCCCAACAACAAACCCAACACACATCAACCTCCCACCAACCCCCCAGACGAAACAGAACCACAAACACCCAACCACAGTCGCCACCATAATACAATTACACCCACATGCCCCATAACCAACCACAATCACCACCTCAGTACCAATACCCCCATATGCCTCACACACAATCGCAATTTCAATCATAATACCGACACACCCGCATACCCCACACATTATTTCAGTCTTCTGCATATCCCAATATAGACCCTTCAACATCCAACCTTAGCCCTGATCTGGGAATGTCGGAAGATTATGAACCAACCGACCCAACTTACCATCAACCACAATATCACCAAACCGCCCAACATCCTCAATACCAAACACCCCAAGATCCATTTCCTTTCTACCCCCCGTACTCAGACGACCAATGCTACAAACCAACCATGGAACCCCACCCACCGTCAACACGACCAAACTTTGAGGGTATGGGTAACCGACTGTACCAAAGCGGATCTTCTAGATATGGAGATCTGACTGATTTCATGGATCCGGAATACATTGACTTCACTGGACAATCGACCCTGCCACAGCAGGAAACACGACGAAACCCAGCACGGGAAAGGCGAGGACAAGGATGCGGAACCGGGGGTCATTACCGGGTTCTGGGGGACCACTGATTAATCTGTGTTTTTTATGTAATACTTATGTGTGTAATCATATTTTGTAAATAAAAAGTCAATTTTGTTGATCCTATATCGAATACGTAACGCACCGCATTGAAAAAAACGTGAAAATTGCCCTAACAAATGCACTAAGGCGCCATCTCACTTGGCTTAGTGCTTGCCCTAAGCACCTAGGCGCCAAGTGAGATGGCGCCTCCCCTTAAAAGTAGGGATGGCAAGCAGACCCAAACCCGCGGGCCCCACCCGCACCCGCACCCGAGTCAACGGGTGAAACCCGAATTGACTGGGTTTGGGTTCGGGTTCGGGTGCCACCCGATATTTCGGGTGTGGGTTTGGGATAGCTTAAACTCGCACCCGAAACCCGAAACCACACCCGATGTTTCTATCTTCCACCATTGTTGCCCCGACTAATTTGCACTAATGCTTTTGATATTAGACAGTTCTTTTAGTGTTGTGCTTATGTTCCTAGACAGTTCAAAAACATGATATTTAACGCGCATGCAAGCATGCTGAAAGTTAGTAGACAAACATTATTATAGGCAGTTTTATTCCAGTTGCAAACATGATAAATTATCAAGAATATGGCATGTTAAAATTATTACAATTTAAAAGCGATATGTTATTTGTGTTGTAAGCTATTACATCTCTGTATGTATCAAGAAGTGGTCTAAAGGATTCTTCTTATTACAATTTAAAAGTTCAGCATTACCAAGAATTAAGTTACATGTTTTATATGTTTTAAGTTTCACATGTTTGTTATTACAATTTAAAATTATGATGATAATATCTATTAGTGTTTCTTAACATGTGAAATATATTTTCTTTGTAATAGGTAAAATAGATCAAGTGAACACAACTCCGGAGCCGGAAGGAACATCTAATCTTACACAAGAAAGTTGTAATATATTAGCTTGTTGTTGTTGAAAAGTTGTAATTTGATTGTAGAATTTAATTTTAATTGTAATGTTAAGATGTTGAAGACTATGTTAAGATAATTGTGATTGCATTTTCTTGAAGACAATGTAAAGAGACCTTATTTTAATTGTAATTTTTTTTTTGATTTTTGGTGCGGGTTTGGATTTGGGTGAAAAAACCCGAATCCAACGGGTGCGGGCGCAGGTGTGATTTTGTCACCCGAATAGTCTTCGGGTTCGGGTTTGGGTGAAAAAACCCGAACCCAACGGGTGCGGGCGCGGGTGTGATTTTGTCACCCGAATAGCCTTCGGTTTCGGGTTCGGGTGATAATTTCGGGTGCGGGTGTGGGTAGTGTGAAACCCGCACCCGATCTGACCCGTTGCCATCCCTACTTAAAAGGTAGGTGTAGGAGCCAAGTGAGATGGCTCCTCCTTTGAGGAGTCATCTGAAACATGGTTATTTGCGTAATTTTTTCCGAAACATGGTTATTTGCGTAATTTTTTCTGAAACATGGTTATTTGCGGAAAAAAAATTTAATATATAATTATTCTAAAAAAAATCGCATAAACCTCACACCGTCCTCTTGGCTGCGTCGAAAACAGGTTCCACTCTTTGACATTTTCCAACCATGATAATTGCTTGATCTGCCCGGATATATCCATCACAAACCGTGACATAATGGAAGGATTATACACAGAGTAAGTGAAATAGGTCTCATTCTCGTTTGACTCTAACGACAAATTGTAGATATAATTCAACCTCATCTCGGGAACCTGACTAAAAATATGTCCATTCCAAGCTCCACTTGTCCAATACTGTTCAGACTTATTCCAAAGAATTGAGTATGAAATTGTTCCTTTTAGGTCTAGTTTAAAAGAGAAAAGACCCATTCCGGGATCATCTCTATTCTTCCATGAAGTGAAATACTGAGGCTTCTTTGCTTTATTGTCTAGCCTAATTTTGCTATCAGGAAGCCATGTATCTGTTGGATGGTCAGAACTCTGCCATAGAGGATCTGATGCATCATCATTATGCCTATTTCTCAAAACAAGATTTCCACTATCTAAGAGAATAGCTACAACAGAATCTGACTTAGGAAAACTCATGTTTATTGACCAAACTTGGTTTGAAGACTCGTCTATTAGAACTAAATTACTAGCTGAAGTTTTTAAGGTGGCAATGTTTTTGTTAGACAGGATTGTCTCTGTTTGCTACCCAAACAATTGTTTGTTGGCTAACCTTTTTGTACCATATTCCTATGTAGTCCTTAGAGGAATTACTCGGTTTGAAGAAACCTAATTCAAAGATTCCTCCTCTAGAGATAATAGTTTGGTCACCCGAAACAGATTGGTTTATAGAGATGGATGTTAGAGCTGCAAGGGAAGGATAATAGTGTAAAGAGAGTAAGAGGTTTAGGAGATAAAGCCTGAACCATGGTTTCATCATATTTAACATGGCTAAAAATCTTCAATGAAGATGGCCTAGTAGCAGCTCTATTCAAACACTTTACATAATAATTTTGAATTCCTTTTGCTGTGATACATTTTGTAACTATTTTTTGAAAAAATTTCTGCTTTCTCTGTTATCCAAAGGATAATATATTATTGTGTTTTATGATGTGGATCGTACAATTTTAGACTTCTACACATTGTTGCATTCGACTAAATCGTGCAAATAATTTTTATTTAGTGTGATCACTATAAATAAATAAAAGAGGTATGACTTAAAAAAAATGCATTTCATTTAAATTACTAGAAAATACGGTAAAACTTTAATTTGATTCAACGTCATTAAATCTGAAAATGTGATTGCGCGTTCAAACTTACAATATTCAAATTAATAACATAAATTAAAATATTTTCAAGAGTTCAGTGTACATGATATCGCATGAATTTTTTTGATATATTAAAAAATAATGAGACATGAGAATTTGGAATTATGTTGACCAGTTTCTTGTCGTACAATGAGATGAGTGATCTTTCCTTTTTGGTCAACTCCTTGGATGGCTTCAAATCTTTCAACATCATTTCCCTCAACTTTCTTTTATGGAGTTACTAGAGGTTCCCTTGAAATGAGGGAAACCACCTTAAACAACTCTTGTTGTATTTAGCTTTTCTTGATTTGGAGAGGGTTGGTTTCTATGAAGCATGGGCACCTCTAGAAATAGGCGTGTCATGGTGTCTGACATGCGTCGGTGACAATTGTATGAAACTCGTACAACATATGTTAGAAAATTCAAATAGTGTCCCCTAAAAAATAGTTTTTATGTTTGTTTGGACACTTTTTAAATCGATGTCTCACACCCGTATGATACTTATACACATGTCAGACAACTCTGACAAATGTTTCAAAAAAATGTTTGTTTAATTCTTTGCTTAAATATACCTTATACATTTTATAGACAAATCTCACACATAAAAAAGGATTAAACATGTATTGAAGCAATATTGTCAATGAAAGATCTAAGACATTAATTTTGATTATAATGTTTTTAACATATACTATCATATATGTAATCGTGTCGGTGTCTTATGTTTTTGTATTATCGGAGTCAGAGTGTCTATATTGTGTCCTAGTGATTGTATCAGAGTTTGTGCTTTGTAGGTTGGTTTACTCGACTGACCCCATCATTCACTTCCTCAAGGTTTGCCTGCTCGTTGATGGGGAGGGTCTCCCACGGCTCATGAGGGCCTTCCTCGGTATTCATCTGAATGAGAAATTTTTTCCATTCACCGAATGTTCTTCCGATAACCGTGTATGCGATTAATAATTTATTCTCTCCTTCGTCATCAGACTCCTTCTCCTTCTTGGTTGTTTGCGTTAATTCACTTCTTTTCCTTAGTGGGTTGTCATCCTCCAGCCTCTTCTCCTTATATCTGCTCTTGTCGTAGTGAGCAAACCTTGACAATCTTTCTTTTCTAATCAGGTCTTCAATAGCATCATTTAGATGAACACTTACATTTGTATTATGGCTATTGCACCAATGAAAATGATAGTATCGAAACTTATCCACTCTAGGATGTTTCTGGATAGGCTCTGGTGCTTCGACATGTTCTTACTTAAACTCAATGATTGATGAATTCTTGTAAATTATACCCTCTCGAAGCATTCAAAGGGGTGTAATCTTTATACTTTGATGGTGGTGCTCCATTACCTTCCCGGTTAGTGCATGTTTCTTTTTTTACTTCTCTTTTTTTCTTAGGCCCTTGACGACTCACCTCATTTTCTCTTCAACACATTTCTACTTTCTCGAATCTTCCCCCATAGATTACTCTACTGGCTACTAAATTTTTCTCATATTGTATATATTTTTTACCTTGGTCACCGACTGTTGAAAGTTTTTAGGGCTCTGATGTCGATGCTCTCGGCAAACATGGATCACAGTTGGATATTGAGACTTAGTAGGATCTTCTATATCTCATCATTAACTTTTTTTCCAGTATTGCTTCCCTGTTGAACCTTTCGATATAAGACTTTAATGCCTCATTTTTCTCTTGCCTAATGGACCCCAAACTTTCCACCAACTTATGCTTTCTTCGAGATACCATGAGTGGATAAACTCGCTCCCCAATCCTCTGAACCCGACCATGGCTCTTGCCTTATCAGTGAAGACAAAAAACTGCTTTCCAGACCCCATGTACCTCGACAGTTCAAAAGGACATCAACAAACTCCTTGTTCTCAATGAGGTCGAATAACCCGTTGTAAGTGCCCATTCCTAATTGTTTTTGCAGTTCCGGTCAAATAGGGTACTCATTGATCCTCATGGTGAAGACATTTTAAATTATAATTTCTTCTCCTTCTTCAAAGTCCTCGGAGGACGTAGAGTGAACGGTCCTTTGACCACGGTGACCAGAGCCCTTTGTCGTCTTTCTTCCCGTTCGGAGTGTACCATAAAATTCCTCCCTACTATGGGTGATCGAGTTGTATGCCTTTAATGACCTATCACCCTTCCATTCTACCAAGGTCAGTCGTCTTGTAACCGTGGTTAGCCACCACATCATCATGAAGTCTTGAAGTTTGTAAACAGTGATGATTCAGGATTTCGACCTCCTAGAGTTATTCATTGTGAAGTTTTAAATATGTTCATTTTCAGTTAACCGCCGTCAACACGTCTCTCACCAAATTGTTTGATTTGTCATTTGATATTTGGCACTTCCGAAACGATTTTCAAAGTGAATTTCTTCCTTAATGGGGAGGATCCATGTTAGCGACCACTACAGCTCGGGTTCATCATTCAATGGAGGGGCGCACAAGCCTCGTTTTGCGAGTGTCATTGGATTTGAGTTTCTAGGCCCGATGACGAAGCAGTGAAACCCTCATCTCGACTTGAGGCTCTCCTTAGCAATGAGCTTGCTATGAATAATGTGTAGTTGGGGTTGTGAGTTGGTCTTCTTCCCCAATTTTTCATTTCCTTAAGTTTGAGAAAGTGGTTGGAACGTTATTTTTTGTTCCCATAGACGGTGTCAATGTTCCTTCTGATAAGTGTTGGAATTTCCGCCTTAATTGCAGTATGTCCCTAGTCACCTTAATTGCGGCATTTTCCTTGCTTTCATTGCAGCCCAAACACCTTCATTGTGTTGGTTTTGAAGGTGTGAGTTTAGTCTCACATTGCTTAGAGATATGGCATATGTTGTGTTTATAAGTGGGAGAAATCCTTACCATACAAGCTGGTTTTGTAGGGATGAGTTAGGTCCAACCCAGATTCTGAGATGGTATCAGAGTCTATCCTAATCTATTGTTGGCCTTCCCGCATCGTCCGAGCTTCGGATTCATTTAGCCCCAAGTGATCGCTAAATTAACAAGTGTACTAATTTTCCAATATAGTAATAATGGAAAATCCCAAAGTATTGATATCAAGGACTGCGTATCGTATTGAGTACAAAACTTGATATGAGATTGTGGTTGTTAAATACTCACTTAACAAATAGAAGGAATATAAAGTGACTTTTTTACCGATATGAGGAGCATGCTAGGGTATGGTGTGTGATTTGACCCTTTAATAACCTTTACTCTTGATCTCTTCAACAAGTTCATTACCTTTAACTATCGGCCCTTTAGATTATTTTCCCTTAAGTCCTTAGTGAGAAAACCTTTAACCACTCATCCTAAATCCTAAGTCCTTAGAGATATCTTATGTAGTCAAGCCTTTATTTTATCAAGGGTTAAATTTGGTAACTATATGGTATCCTTAGTCCTAGGTGATATCTACTATAGCCTAATCGTACAAAAACCTTAACAATCGCGGTCCAGCTGGTTGTTAACCGTAAATCAATCCTAATTAGTCCGATCAGGAAATCATGAAAACATTGCACGATTAAATTGAATAAGAAAACAACTTTATTAAAGAACTCAGAAATTCATAATTATTACAAATTTAAATCAGGGACACACCATAGCATTGGGGGATTTAGCTACCCATATTGTTCAAAGTAATTTCAATGATATAAAGATTAAACATTAAAGATAAATTATGAACTTTGATCTTCAATCACTGGCTCATGAAAAATCTCTGTCCTCCAAGAATCTCATATGTTGATATCTTAAATCCTCAATTCTTCGTCTGGCTAAAAAAAGTCATGTTTTCATCGTGGAAACTCCTCTTAGTAGCAACAACTCATTTAGGTCGGTTGAAAGTATCCAAAACGCCCCCACAACTTAACAGATGAACAAAATAACCTAAAATTCTGAAATCAGCGTTACAATCCAACACGAGTCGTGTCAAGAAACACGGGTGCCCGTGTTGGACCTCTGGGAATTTGTCTTTTATTTTTTGATACAGACCTTCTGACATGGGTCGTGTCAGCTGACAAGGGCGCCCATGTCAACCCCCTGACTTCCCATTTCTTTGTCTCGTCCTAGTCTTCATCCTGACATGGCCGTGTCAGGTGACACGGCTGGCCGTGTCAGGCCTCATGTAGGTGGATATTTATATTTCTTCCAAAACTCTGAGTTTTGTACCGATTTGTCTCGATTTATTCTTTTGAGTCTGAAAACATTAAAACGCAAAACCAAAGCATAATGTGTGATAAAACGAAATAAAACCTCGGCAAGAAACATAAATGATAACTAAAATAAATGCTAAATGTTTGTATAAAAACCACTGATCACCAAGCGTACGGGGTGTACTGGATTTCCTCCTTAATTTTGGTCTTCCCCTAGTCGCCTTAATTGCAGCATTTGGCTTGCCTTCATTGCAACCATAACACCTTCATTGTGTTGGGTTTGAAGGGGTTTATTGTGTTGGGTTTGAAGGGGGGAATTTAGTCCCACATTTCTTAAAGATATGACATGTCATATATTTATAAGTGGAGACAATCTTCGCCCTACAAGTTAATGTTATAAGGACAAGTTTGGCCCAATCTAAATTCTGAGAATAAGGAAGTTTATTCTCAAAGAAAATCAAGTTTTAGTTGTCAGAGTCGCAGGACCACTCACGTCTTAATTGCTCGGTTGATTTGGTGGAGATTGATACCTGCAAATATTCTGACGCCCAAATTAGTGGTTTTTAGATTGTGAATTAATTGAGCCATGTTAGCTCCCATGGTGAATTACCTCAGGCTAAGAATCTTCAATCTTTCATATGCGGTAAATGTGTAGTCAAATATAAAACCTAGGGTTATTTTGAGTGTAAACATATGTTTAAAAATATAACAGAAAAAGTTCAAGTGAATATATTCCAACATAGTCTTCTTGCCCCCAATTAGAGGAACAAGTGTTCTGCAACCTTGGCGGCAGCAAACTCAACCTATAAATGATGAATCATCACCATGTGAAACATTCACCCATCAGATTCCATCTCTTTCTATCATTTTCTAATCTTTGTTGAATATTTCAGGTGTGTTTTTTGATTGCCTATATTTCCACCTTTAACAAATGGATAAATATTTAATATTTAAAGCTTAGGAATCTGAGTTGAATGGAGTGAGTGATTAATTCCAATTTTGAACATAAGGGTGTAATGTTTTTTAGCATCACGACGATATCGATACATGTAATTAAATTTAATCAAATAATTGATTTAGGTTATTATTGGTCCATTCATAGGTTTAAACACCAACTTTTCAATGTGTCAAATAATTGAATTGACCAATCTAAAATGCAATGAAGAAAAAGGCATTTTGTTATTTAAACCTACATTTATAGTACCCTAACCTAAAAAGAGAATCTCATTATTCAAGCCATACTTTACAATTACATTTGTTTACATGAAAAAGATCACATTTTATTTCTATATCAGTAATAACAAAATTAGAGACAACTTATGTGATCCTCTAATTTTCTGCCGATAAATTAGAGCTCGTCAATGATATATTGCTTTTGACCTGAGAACTTGTTGAGATGTTACTCTTAACCTGTGAACTTTGAGTTGAGCTAGAATCAGTGTAGAAAACCACGTTCTCATGATTATCAACCAACATTTGAAGAGATCTTGGAATCGGAGGCAAGCTCACTTCCAAAATCCCTTCAAGAATTTGAACTACCTGACCCATTGTTGGCCTTTCATTTTCATTATCTTGGACACACCAAGACGCCACTTTTATTATTCGCGCAACTTCTTCAATGTCCCCATTTCCCTCCAACCTAGGATCTAATAGGGTGATCACACTGCCACCTTCAATAACTACTTTTGCAGCTAAGGTAGGAAAGAAAGTAAACTGACCGTCTTCTGATGAATCAGAGTTTCTCTTACCTGATACAACCTCGAAAAGCATCATTCCATAACTGTAAACATCGGCTTTGGCTGTAATGGCCACCCCAGAGATCCACTCTGGAGCAAGATAGCCTCTTGTTCCTCTCATGGTTGTTAGGACCCTGCTGAAATCTCGCCCAACTAGCTTAGCTAGGCCAAAGTCCGCAACTTTTGGACAAAAATCGGTGTCTAGGAGAATGTTTTCTGGCTTTATGTCACAGTGTATGATACAGTCTCGGCACTTTTCGTGGAGATAAGTCAATCCCCTTGCGATTCCAAGAGTTATTTGGTATCTCATTTTCCAGTTCAAAAGCACTGAAGTATCCTTCTTCATGAACAAATGGAAATCCAAGGAACCATTTGGCATGTAATCATAAACCAGCATCCGTTTAGTACCTTCCGAACAGAATCCTCGGAGTCGAACAAGGTTAACATGTTGCACTGTTCCTATTGTACTCACTTCTGTTCTGAACTGCTTCTCTCCTTGGCTAACACTTTCCAACTTCTTCACTGCCACTAAACTTGAATCAGCCAATGTTCCTTTGAATACAGAACCGAATCCGCCTCCTCCCAATTTCTCAGAGAAATTCTTAGTTGCATTTTGCATATCTCTGTAGCCAAATGCCACCAACGAACCCTCAACAGGCTTACCTGTTCCAACCGTTCGCTTTCTTCGCCTAACCACAACAATCAGAAGAACAGCCAAGAGAATCCCTACGCCAACTACAGCACCTACTGCAATACCAATAATCAACCTGTTATTGTTTTTAGCATCACTAAATTCTGATGCTGCAAGTTTTAGATACAAAGTGTTTCCACTGCTGTCATCTGAAGAAAACTGTTGCAGATTCAGTAGGTCTTTAATCCAAACTGAACATCCATTACTGTCATACGAATAAGCGGAACACGAGCAGCTGTTCAAGCATATTGATTCACATTCTTCTGCATTCTCTGATCTCACCGATTGTGCATGTTTAGGCAATGCCATGTTTGGGATTGGACGAAACCTGTCTTTTACCCCATTAGAGTCACCAGAACTCTCACATTGCAACCTTGTTTTTCTCATACACCCACCTGAGTGATCCTCCAGATCCCAATCAGACTGTGACTTTGGCTCAAAACCACTCAAACAATTACAATATGGCTTCGAGTTCTCAGTACAGCTTCCAAACGCACCGCAGAAAGCATAAACCTCACACTGTGCTCTTGGCTGCGACCAAAACAGGTTCCACTGTTTGATACTTTCCAACCATGATAATTGCTTAATCTGCCCGGATATATCCATCACAAATCGCGATATAATGGAAGGGTTATACATGGAGTAAGTGAAATAGCTCTCATTCTCGTTTGATACAAACGAAAAATTGTAGATATAATTTAACCTCATTTCAGGAACCAGACTAAAAATATGTCCATTCCACGCTCCACTAGTCCAATACTCTTCAGACTTATTCCAAAGAATTATATATGAAGTCGTTCCTTTCGGGTCTAGTTCCAAAGAGAAAAGACCCGTTGCGGGATCTTCCTTATTCTTCCATGAAGTAAGATACTGAGGCTTCTTTCTTTTGTTGTCTAGCCTAATTTTGCCACCGGGAAGCCATGTATCTGCTGGATGATCAAAACTCTGCCATAGAGGATCTGACAAATCATCATTAGGCCTATTTCTCAAAACAAGATTTCCACTATCTAAGAGAATAGCTGAAACAGAATCTAACTTAGGAAAACTCATGTTTGTTGACCAAACTTGTTTTGAGGATTCATTCAACAGAACTAAATTACCAGCTGAAATGTTTAAGGTGGCAGTGTTTTTGTCAGAGACAGGGTTATCTCTGTTGGCAACCCAAACAATTGTTTGTTTGCTAATCTTTTTGTACCATATTCCTATGTAGTACTTAGAGGAATTATTACCTGGTTTGAAGAAACCCAATTCAAAGATTCCTCCTTTAGAGATAAGAGTTTGGTCACCAGAGAGAGATTGGTTTGAAGAGATTGCTGTTAAAGCTGCAAGAGAAGTATACAAGTGTAAAGAGAAGAAGAAGAGGTTAAGAAGAGAAAGCCAGAACCATGGTTTCATCATATTGAACATGGCTGAAATTCTTCAATGGAGAAACTATAAAGAAAATTGTGGTAATGAAGATGGCCTAGTGGCAACTTGTTGGATGGTTCGAGTAGTTGCCATTAGTTGTAAATTTCATGTGACAGTCTATAGAGCCTGTAGCATTTATTGACTCCACCCAACACAGAAATTGAGTTCACTACACTCAAAGTTTCACGCATTCACGCATTCGGAGCATCTGTGACCGTTTTAACCTGATCGGACAGTTTAAAGAAAACATTTTTTTTTTATTTTATACTAAATTATAATATCAACAGTCTATTCTTGATCAACTGGTCCACATTCTATCAAATACGTGAATGTGCGAAATCGTAACCGAAGGGAATCATCATCCATCAAACACTATCTTCTTGTGTGCATTGATTGTGTTTCTCCACTTTACACAATAATGTTAAATTCGTTTTACTTTGATACATACATTTTGTAAGTATCTGTAGAATTTTCTGTTTTCTTTGTTGGGGTAATATTTTATTATAAAGGATTGGATTTACAATTTGAGAGACTAAATCGTGCTAATATTTTATGTAGTGCCATCACTGTCAAATAAATAAAATAATTTGAGTCGTATTTCATTAAATAGCAACCACTTTAATAAGATAAGTAGAGCCAATTACTTCTATCATTTATGTTTTTCATTCTAAGAATGTTAATCAATATAGCTTCTAGAAAGGTTTATATATGTAGCTACAACAAATTCAAGTTAATTCAAACTTTTTTTTGTGCTCAAAGCTCAAAACAAAAAAGAAATCTCTTGTGATCTTGGAAACGGGTCCACCTAGAAAATTAGGATGATATCCCTCAAATTAGGCACTTGACGTTTGGAGCACAAGTCTCATCTTTTCTTGACAAAAATCAAGTGGGAGTATTTTCCAAATCCCAATTCACACGTCGTTAGAGGATGAGCAGTGTTGATTTTCCATTCACTGTCTCATTTTATTCTCTCAAGCAAAAAAAAAAAACTTTTGCCCACTAGGTTTCCACTTGCTACATCTTTACTATATTTATAAAAAATGATTAATGTTTAAAATCTTATTTAAAAAATAATCTTATCTGACTAAAATTATTAATATGTACGTGTTAGTGCTGTCCCTTTCTCTAGCTACCATTTTTTACAGTGGTTTTCTCATTGACTACTACATAAAAAATTATTTTTATTTATTTTGTAACAATATCTTGTTTGTAACAACACAATCTGTTAATGTATACGTATTCAAAGAAGATAAAATCTTTGTTAACGGTGCACTACTCATTTTAGAAGAGAGACATAAATCTGTTCAATTTCTCTCTTTTTAAGTCTTGACCGCTGAAATTTTTCAATATTAGAAGTGACATTCTCCATACTATTGAAAAATATTTTTCACGTGTCACTAGATGAAAAGATAATATAGACACACCATTAACTAGAGCCTACACTCATTCTTTAGTAGTGCAATTCTAAACCCGTCATTCAGACTAACTTGCTCCTCACGTCATGATAAACACACCTCCTAGAATTTATCAAACAACAGTCTTGAAGTGTCAACAGATGTCTGTAGTAAGACCCTTGATAGAAAGAAACATATTATAAGTACTTAACATATTATGCACACTATCATCTTTGGAACTTTCGGATTAAGCTCTCCATAATACAATGTCATGACATGTGTTTGAACATTGCATTTTTTAAACATCCAAAAACATTGAGAGTTCAGACTTCCCTCAACCTTAACCATAGTCTTTGAAAACGACTAGAGTACATAGATAACCATAGCTGAACGAGGAGCCACGAAGAAAGATTATCCATAAACACTGACTCCATCAGACTTGGCCAGAACGAGTTACTCTAACACTTCACCAAAATAAAAAACTCTCATAGATTCACATCTCTAAACGCAGAGTCAATAAACAATGATGATTATAGAGTTTTCAGATATAGCTCCTCCTAACTCCTAGAGTTTCAATATGCTGAGATGGTGCCCCAACATTAGCTTGGACATTAGTATATTTCTCAATGATCACATTGTCATATCCCAAATTTTCTCTACATTTATATTATATTTAGGTTTCTAATTAAATAAATTATATTATGTAGGTTTTATTTCTATAGGAGTGTAAAACATGGAAGAGATGTGTACTGATCTAAAGTGAACCATCAATATATGCTGGTCCATTTAGGATTTGAATAAAGTTGAAAGAGTGTAAAGTAATATGTTTTTTGTTTAAGGCCCAATAAGGAGGCCCGTTCAGTTTTTTAATTTATTTTGAGGATTGTTTTTTTTAAATGTTACATTATTAAAATTATTGTTATTACTATTATTATTAATTAAATAAATTGTTTCTTTAATTGGAAAATGTTTGACTAAAAGGGCGAGAATTAAAACTTGATCACTCGGTCCATTTCAGCCCAAGCCCAGTCCAAAAGCTTACAATCCAAATCAGAAAAACATGGCCCAAAACAAAAAAGAAGAACATCTACTGTTTGGATTAAAAGAGTAGTAGTGCACACTTTAAGAAATAAAACGCGTACTATTTGGATTAAAAAGAAAAACACACATTTCAAATTACTGCTCATAACTAGTTTACAAACAAATCAATAATCCAGAACCAAAACAGAAATAAATCAATAGAGAAAATACAACCAAATATTCATAATCAATACAATATGAATATTACTGATCAAACTAAATCAAGACTTTACACAGTCGAATCAAAAACAGAAACAAATCAATACTAATAAAAACTTACACAAACGAATTACGACATAATCAAATCAATGCCTTAATTCTAAAAGTAACGACGAATTCATAAATTATTTCCTAACCGATAAACCCTAAAAATACTATAAAAATCTAAGTTTAAAACAGAAGAAGGGGAGAAGAATTACGAAAAAATTACAGAGGAGAGGATTGTTACAAAGGGAAGAAGAGGAAGAGGAGATTCAACAGAAGAAAAATTTAACAAAAGGAAAATTGGAGAAGAACTGTGAGGGGTCTGTTTCTGTCACCGAGTCCGCCGCTCCAACTTAGGGTTTCAATATCTGAAACCCTAGCTCTTCTTTGACCATCGTCGCCGCTTCAAATCTTCATCTGTTGTACCTGTAAAAAAACAAATAAAAGAAAGAGGGATTAGCGAAAACGAGATCGGAACAGATGTGAATAATACAGAGGTAAGGCCCCAAAAATTCAGGTTTTATGTTTGTTGTTTTCTTCTGCGATTTGGGTTTTTAGTGGGGTTTGATTTGGAGGGTAAGGGATGAGGGTTGCACCGTAGGGAATGGGTTTTTAGGATTATGTTGTTTCGGTTGTTGTGTTGAGCAAAGAAGAGAGAGATGAGACGGAGTGAGAGAGAGAGAGAGAGAGAGAGAGAGGAGAGACGAAGATGAAAATAAGTGAAAAATGAAAAGAATTACTTTTCTTTTTTCTGTTAAACTCCATCCGCTTGCGATCCCATCAGGGACACATGGTCAATATCTGGCCACGTGATCCCGTGCACCCTCACTATACACCTGTAGACCCCACCCCTTGATCTAAATTGAACGCAAAACATTTTGCTAGTCCATGATAGCACTATACACACGCGGATACACGATCCCAACCCACCCTTAACTTCGTTGGGCCTCTGAAATATTTTTTGGGCTTAAGCCCTACTATCCACACCCCCATCTTTTTATTATTTTTTCTTACTAGGCCATTTCTGCACCCCCTTCTGTTTAGTGGGCCAAGTCCAATATCTGGACTTGGCCCCTTAATTTTAACACCCCCTAAAATTACTATGTAACACAGAATACCCCCCCCCCCCCCCACTCATGCTTTTTTTTGCCAAATTAATTATTTTATTTTTGATGATATTATAATTTTATTTATTTATTTAGTCGTTTTATAATTTATTATATAAAAATTATTTTTACATGATTAATAAATAATTATAATTTTTTTATTAAAAACATTGATATATTTTTAATAAATTATAAAATATTTATTTATTAATTAAATCTTTTTAAATACTAACCCTTTTCTTTTTACATTAAGTAGATTCTTTTCAAATTTATTTTCATAATTGCATTGTATATTCGAAAATAGCTAACCAACAAATTACTAACAATTTTCTACTAACTTAATTCAATTTATATTATTTTCAAAAAGGATTGTATTAATATTTCTTATAAACTGTGAGTTATGTCTACGACTTTGCTATTTACAAATCGTACTTGGTTCAAGGAGAATTTGAAATATTTCTACAACCCATAAAAAACACAAACCAACTACGAGCTACGAATTTGGACTTCGTTTCCTCCTAAGAGGATATGTAGGCATACGAATAAAATTGTGGTAAGTTCCCCTAATAAAACATTAAAACCATATTCCTAAAAGATTTCACTTCTAACCCTAGTATCCTTGTGAACAAGGTAGACGAGGGGTGCCTAACACCTTCCCTTCGTCTAAAGACCGAGTCAAAAACCTAGAATCTATAACTTGTTAGGGTTATCCTTTATATTCCTTTCCTTAGGATAAAAATTAAGGGTGACGACTCTGTATTTTAAAACTAGTTACAACAGTTGTGATAGTACCATCTTGTGATGGCCTTCTGAGTAACATATTGAATGTCGTACTCTAATAGTAGCATCTTTCATCGGGCAATCCTTCCTTTAAGAGCCATTTTTTTCTAACACATACTTTAAAGGATCCATTCTTGATATTAACCATGTGGTATGAGTTAACATATACTGCCTCAAGCTTTTAGTAGCCCAAGCCAATACACAATAAGTTTTCTCGAGAAGTGAGTACTTGGTCTCACAGTCAGTGAATTTCTTGTTGAGGTAGTAGATTGCATGTTCTTTTATACTTGTTTCGTCATGTTGTCCCAATACACATCCCATCGATCCCTCAAGTACTGTTAGATACATGATGAGTGGTATTCGAGGAACTGGTGGCATTACGATAGGTGGCTCTTGTAAATATTGATTTATTGTCTCGAAGGTCGTCTAACAATCA